CTCAGATCTATGTGTGGGGCAGACTGCGGGCTTGAGCTTCTGCCCTGCTTCCTTCCCACACCAGGGACACCAGTAGGGGTGGGGGCCTATTGTGAGGAGAGTAAGGGGCAGGCCTGGGGCTGTGCAGGGTGGGGGAGAGTGAGGGGCACCAGCAGGGCTGGGGGGATCATTTAAATTTAATAATTTGGGGGGGGTTATCAGAGAATTTGCGATTTTTATTTATTTTTTTATCAGGGAAAACCAGGATCCCTGATTATAACTAACTTAACTAAGAGCTTTTAAAAAAAGGATATGGAGGTGGAGAACTGAATTGCTCTTCAGACTGTACAACTACTATGTTGAAAACCTTAGAATTTTGAAATGTTTAAAATCAGAGCAGACAAAGAATAGAAAAAACTGGGTTTGATTATCTTTTAAGATATACCTTAATATCTTTTTGGGACCATAAGCAGTTGGAGTATATGGGAGCAGCTGAACTTGTCCTTGGTGACCATCCTGCTGAAAAGTACTGGAGAATGACCTGAGAGCAGAGGTAGCTAAAACTGACGGTGCTGTCCCAACATTTAACAGTATCTTAGTTTATTTAGAGAATTTTTCCTTAGCTCCTTTTTTATCATTGCCGCCTGGAAAGTCTAGTTGGAGGAGACTGGATTCCAAAAATTATAAGCCTGAGTAGAAAAAACAGCAAATTTCAAAGAGTAATATTCTTCAGTTCAAATTACTGTAAATAGTCTACTCTTCACTGATGGAGTCACAGTTCACTGTATGATTTCTCAAAACTAACCTCTATCTTGGAAACTTCTAGACACCTAATAGACCTTAGCCTGCTTCACCACAATATTTTTTCAGTTTTGTAGTGATTTATCTATCATCTCTACCTGCGCCTTATCTCTTAGTGACAAGTCAGCTCTCAACTGCTCTTGCAATCTTACACTGGGGAATAGGCTCCCAAAAGACTTCTTTTCTGTCTGGAAAATCAACACACGGTACTAGAACAAGAAAAGGAATAGCTTGGACTTTAAAAATGCAAATACAAACACCGTATTTACTTGATTAGAACATGAGATTTTTCTTCCCCAGTCAGCATGGGGGGGAAATGCCCCGTATCTTATATTCACATACAAGGGAACTCCATTAAATGCATTGCCTATTGTTAAACTGCTACCAAAAGCATCATGTGCTCAGTAATACAAACCAACCAGAAAGTTGATTAAATGCAGTTAGCACTGAGCATGGCTATAAAATAGGTGGCCCATATTGGGCAAATATACTGATGGACACATTTTTATTATTATTATTAAAAAATGTTATTAAAACACACTTATCAGCATACTCTTATAAAGCTCCACATATTGAGTCATCCTTGTTTTCCCAAAACTTGATATCAGACAAAGAACTGCATATCCAAAAACATACAACTACATATATTAAACCCTTAAAGAACATGCATCCACTTCCCACAACAAATACCCGTACAGAACTGTTTTTCTCTATACAGAACCTCATGAAAAACCTGTTGCCTTAATAACCACCTGAAATTCTCCACCTCTCCCATCAGTCCTCTCTGTTGGTTCAGTGAAACAAGTGTGTTCAGTCCTTTTCCCTCCACTCCTCTAATCTCTTCCTTGTCCTGATGGATGTAGGATTTCAGTTCATGCAGCCCCAGCTTCAGGTACTTTCTTTCAGTGAAGGCCAACCCCTTAAAAACCCAGAGGTCTTTTACTTTGCATAAACTAGTTTTAACACATGCTAATAAAGTCCTTAATAATGTTTCCTCAGGTACTTTTGATATGAGTCCATATAGTACCATCTCCCACGCTAACAACAGATTTATTCTGGTGGGCCTCAGAAAGCAACAAACCCTTTCCCAGACCCCCTTTCCATATGTTCACTCCAAAAAACAAGTGTCCTGTTTCTTTCCAAACAGTAACCAAAGTATTTTCCATATCCTTGCCATCCCGTCTTTCCCTTCGGCATTCATTGGGATCCCTATTACTCTGATTTCTCTCTTATTTTAAGGCCCAACTTCTCCAAGTCTCACCAGTTCCCCATTCCTGTTATGGTGCTTTTCAGTCTATTTACTGTAGTCCCCATTGCTTTTCCATACTCTGATGTAAGCTTTAGCACCCTTTCCATCGTGAGGCTATCTACTACATTTATATCATCCAGGTATAATACGCATTTCACCTCTCCCCCTCCCAGTGTCTTTACTCTGCTTATGACCTTGTCTTTCCTTACTCTTTGTGCTAAGTATTCCATGTTGTATGCAAATAGTAGTAGTGACAGGAGGCATCCTTGTCGCACCCGTTTATGGATTTTAAAAGCTCTACTTAGACATCCATTAATTTGGACTTGACTTTCTGCTTCTCTATACAATAGCCTTATCCAACATATACATTTCTCTGGGAACCCCATTTTTTCAAGCACCTTGAATATGTAATCATGATCCACTCTGCCATATGCTTTTTCTAAATCTAGATTTGCTCTTGGATGTGGGACAGTGTATCTGATCACTTTGGAGATCCTTCTGCCTGGTACTGCGCATACTTGGTCTTCATACATTATCTTCTGGAGGTTTTTCCTCATCCTCAAAGCCAGTGTCTTTGCTATTAACCTATAGTCTATATTAAGGAATGGAAGAGTAAGATCACAAGGTCTCTTGTAAAATCTTTCCCTGCCTCTCCTGTTTCCGCTATTTCCTTGAAAACTTCAACTACATCCCTCCCTACCCATGCCCAAAACTTCTCATAAAATTCCTCAGGCAGTCCATCTGCTCCTGGTGATTTCCCTCTTGTAAAGGTTTTTAAGCACTCCTCCATTTGCTTTAAGCTTATCTTTTCTTCCATCTTCTTTGCTTCCTGTCCTCCTCCTCTACTTATTCTTCAGTCTCTTCCAGCAAATCCTTCATCTGCTTCCTGTCTATTTGCTTCTTCTGATATAGCTCTTCATAAAATCCTCGTGTTGCCTCCAACACCTCCTGCTTTTCTACTTGGGTACCACCTTCTTTGGGCACTGCTTTTAGCTTTCCTTTTGCTGTCATCACTGTAGCTGAAAAACATCAGAACCACTCTTTTCTCCCACCCAGGGTGCTTGTGCTAAAAAAATTTTCTCTCTCATCTTTCTTTTAAACCAGCTTTCTATCTCTTGTCTTGTTTCTTCTGCTTATTCTTGTATTTGTCTTCCTTCTGCAGGTTTCTTTAGCCACTCCTACCTCTTTCTTTGCAGCTCTCAAGTCTTTCATTCTTTCCCCCATGGTTCTTTGTCCTTTATTCCTAAAGAATTCTCATATCCTTTTCTTCACCATCATCTACCATTCTCTGGTACTCTTAAGGTATTTCTTCAGCCTTCTCCACCCTTCATACTGTCTCATATATACTTGACATATCTCCTCATCCTGTAGCAGTGGACATTTAATTCTCTCATTCCCCTTCCTCTTATGGGCAGTTACCTCAATTCGGTTCTGCCTTCAGCATCCAGTGACCACTTGGTGCCACAGTTATGGTTTCTTACTACCTTATCTCTCTTTCTTTTGATACAAATACAAAGTCTGTTCTTGATTGTTTCTTTCCACTTGGGTCAATTTTAGTGAAAACTTTTCCCCTGCCCACACATATTAATCACTTTTTAATTATATCTGGATGAAGTGTCTGGACTTACACTTCCTCCTCCTTCCCCTGTTTTGTCACCTGCTTCTGAGCCAGATCACGGAGCAGGGATTCCCCAGCCCCTGGTTCGATTCCCCAGCTCTCTGATCATTTCTCCAGCTCTTCCTGGGGGGCGTGTGCCCCCAGATCTGCGCGCCGGGTTTCAGCAGGGAAATCGAACCAGGAGCTAGATGTCAATATCAGAGCAGTCCTTCCCCCCCCTCTTTCCCCTACCTCTTCTTAGTTTTTGTTTCCCTGCAAGCTCAACTCCGAAATTCTCCAAAACATTTCTGAAACATTTCAGAGCTTTCTGATTCATTTCAGATTCGGTGTTTCGGGGGCCGAAACAGCCCAAAACATCTCTGAAATGAAATGGCTGCTGAAATTTCTCACAGTCGTGCTGCACACCTATTTTATGGAGATGGGGTATTTCTCCCTAGTTTTCTCCTTCGGTCTGTTGGCTATGGGCAAGCTAGACTCAGGGGCATCCGAACCCCAAGACTTCTGGGCTTGGGTCTGCACATATATAAAATCTAATTATTTCAGGGGGCATCTTATATTTGAGTAAATAAGGTAGATATTGACCTTATGTTTTCTTGAATATTACATCAAATTTAATGCATTTTGGTGGTGGCCTTTGCTAATTTTTATTATACTCTGAAATTCTTGTTTTCTCAAAATGTTTAAAAAAAGACCAGTGTAATCATTTCTTACTAAAAAACAATTTCGTCATCTGTCCAATAGAAGTTTTCCATATTTTCTATCTTCTCAGTTAAATTAAACCATAGACGGGTGGTAATATAGTATTGCCAGCTTAGTATGCCGAAAAGTGTGTCAGAAAAATTCTTCCATAAATTTTTTTGGTGTGTGTGTGTGCAGAAACCCCATGTGGAGTTCCTACGATATGAAAGTATTTCAGTTTCCAAGAGATTGACTGTATATAGCATTTTTTCTCCTTTATAATCCATAACTCCACTTAGTTCTATATCTCAGTTTGGATTCTATATATATATGTTTTATCACGGAGAGTCAGTAATCATCTCTCTCTGTCTATATATATCTTTTATATGCTTTAGCAGCAAGCTGTAATCTAAGGGTAACTTTCATCCCTGTGGAAAGGGCCAGCACAAAAACTATGCAGGACTTAAGCTGTCCACACAAGGACGTATTTTAACTTCACTGTATACAAGCAAACAAAAAATGGAATAAGGTCAGATGTTGGGCTAGTGAAGTGGAGCCCCAAATCTATTAGCGTTTTGTGCAAGGTGCCTGTGTTTACTACACAGAGTAGACTATTTATTTCTTTTGGCAATAATTGTATGTCAATTTTAAATCTTCCTTTCTTTCCTCTCTCAGCTTTGAAAAGTCCAGCTGCATTCCATGAGCAGATAAAGAGTTTGGAACGAGCCAGGGTAAGATATTCTGCTGTGATCTGGAAATAGATAGTAAACTGCAATAGATGTGGAAGTACATTCTCAGACTATGGGAAACAATTTATTCTAATTTAAAAATAACAACAATAACAATAATAGTGGCATTCTGCAGGGATTCATGGAATTAAAGTATTGTGTTTGTATTGAATATCTGAGAGGTTTTCTTAACTCTCTACACGTATTGGACAGGGAGGTATATAAAATATGGTAGTACTCTACTTCAGGGCTGTCCAACTTGTGAGTGACTGGGAGCCACCAACCATGCTGGTCATAGGCTTTGGGCTGCACACCAAAGGGGCTCCCCACCGCATGACCAGCGCAGCACCCACCCATTGTGCGGGTAGCGTGATGCCTGCCTTCCTGTCTACCTCAGTACCATGGTGGCAGCATGAGCCCTTTCCCATCTCCTGGCAGTGGACTCATGGGCCCACTCTCATCATGGTACCCTGCCACAACAACTCCATTTGCAGCAGGAACAGTGTGGGGAGAGATGGTTGGCCAGGAGCCAGGCAGGTTTACCCCATGCAGGCCAGATGTAAACTGCAGGCCTCCAGTTGGACACTTCTGCACTATTTCAAGTTTACTCTTAGTCCAAGAAGGGTAGGATGCTTTTGGTAAACAGATTTAAAAGAAAAAACTGAATTTAATTGCAATGGTCTGCACTAGGCTAATCCAGCACAGACCTGGAATCATGAAACAGGATCTACTCAGGAGAGAGATTAAAATCAGATGCTGTGATGGTCTCTGGCCTTTCTGTGGGATGTTTTAAGTTGTACAGAAAAGGCTTTATTTGTCTTCCCTCTTCTTCATGTACCTAGACAAAGGCCAGGTTGCTCCATTGTGATGGAGCATTGCTACTTTCAAGTAAAGAACAAAATAGTTTGAAAGGCAATTTTTTGTTCTACATACTATTAGTGATTTCTTGAGGGTGGGGAATGGACACAAATCTGCAACTGTTCCTAAATCCCAAGTCATTGCATTTAGTTCTTTGTTTCCCTTTGCTCTGCGTAGTTTTGGGACAAGAAAAAAACAGTTACACATCTGAGTATCTACAACTGAAGGAGATGAATATATTAAGAAATTCGTTGTTCATAAAAGGTTATGTAAATTAAGAAATTGTTTTGTGCTTTTGTTAGTAAACACTGTTATAATGCTTTTTTTCCCCCCCCACCTTTTTAAGACTGAAAATTTTCTGAAGCACAAGATTCGCAGTAGACCAGATCGATCAGAGCTGGTCAGAATGCATATTCTTGAAGGTAGGACCCCAGATCTCCTTTCTTTCCAAGATGAGGATTTATTTTAGTTTTGGGCTCTGAGCCTCTTAAGGTGCACAAATACTGTTGCCATCCCCACAAAATACGCAAACACTCGCACCATCTCCCACCACAGAAGTGGCCACCAGGAAAGTGGCACAGAGGAATTCCATGGAGACTAGTGCCAGCAGATGAAATCTCCATCCTACTCCATAAGGAACAAAGGGAGACACGGCCGCGACTGCAGCCTGAGGAGGACCCTCTGTCACCACAGCTGCCTCTAAATGAACATTGTTTTTTATTATATAACATTAATTTTCTTAAAACCTTTGCCCCAAAGGATGTTCAAAGAGTATATATTGTTGCCATCCTATAATTCCATAATCTCATGGTTTCTGTTCTTGCTGCTCAGGTGGATTTAATATTGACGTCACAAAATCAGTTTGTGAATGGGACAGCATTAGCAAGTTTTAATTTTGGAATCTGATTTGTGTATAGAAACAGCAGTGTTAGAAACAAATACATTTCCAGTAATTCCAGTCAGTGGAATAGTCTGTTGTTTTTAATTTTCAAGACATGAATTTGCAAGCTACAGTCAGATTAGGAGTCTTCATATTGACACACCATCTATATTTTGTCATTACAATTGGCATGTAATGACAACAATTTAAAACTTCAAAATTGCATTTTTAACATTAAAACTTATGTAGTTATCAGCTTGGCAAGAATGGATCTAAATAGTGTATTTTGAAGTTCCCCACTTGCAAAACTGCTGCTTAATAGATGTCATTCATTTTTTTTCTTGGGGAAGAATTGGCAGTAGGACTGAAATTTAAATTAAAATCATGTCAATATTTTGAAACAGTGCATTACATTGTGGTTTAAAATTGAAATATCAACTCATCTTTAAGTATACAAGTGCTGTTATAACTTACAATGTTATTATATATGATCTACTTTTAAACTTATAAATCATGTTAGCTCTGTGCTTCAGGCTTGTGATATGATCTCAGATGTTTGGAATAGATATTGGTATTATAACTTTAAAAAAAAAAAAAAAAAA